TGATGATGTTGATGTTGATGACGATGGTGATGATGAAGATGATGTTGACGATCATGATGACGGTGCTGCTGATGACGATAAATATGCTGCTGCTGCTGCTGCTGCTGATGATGATGATGATGATGATGATGATGATGATGATGATGATGATGATGATGATGATGATGTTTATGATTCTGCTATTGCTGATGATGAGGATGAGGAGGGCCAGTGTAAACCCAAGAGGCATCAACGATGTTGGAATACACCCTCCGTCCAAGCTCCCTCTGCACAGGCCCCTACAACAGTTTATTGCCACTGGAGGAATCACGTCGTTGGAACACCTGCACACCCTGAAGCATGCCAAAACATGTGCTCCGGGATTCCGCCGCCACGGATCGACCTGACTGTTGCGTCTTGACGATCTTGAATCGTGCCAGAACGCCACTCCTGAACTACAACACCGCGAATCAACGTAATTGTTGCGCCCTCGTAATCCTGAATCTTTGAACGAACGTGTTCTACCGCTGCTGGCGGAACACCGGGGGAGGTCACTGGGGGTTCCCAACCCGTCCCCCCCCCCACACTCCAGTCCATCATGGAAAGGGGGGGGGGTCACTACCAGTGCGACCCCCCCCCCTCGAAAACCAGGGGGGGTCACTGCCGGTTCGAACCCCCCCCCAGTCCATCATGGAAAGGGGAGGGGGGGTCATTACCAGTTCGACCCCCCCCCTCGAAAACGGTGGTGGTCACTATCGCTTCGAACCTCCCCCCCCTTCGCCGCCGGCAAACAAATCCCGCTCTTCGGTCGGGACAGTTGGACAGTGGTGGGGATACTGGGACAGCGGTGGAGAAGGTGGTGGTGGGAACAATGATGTGAGGACAGTGGGACAGTGGTGCGGACAGTGGTGAGGAGACAGCGGGACAGTGGTGGGGACAGTGGGACAGTGGTGGGGACCGTAATGGTGGGGACAGTGGTGAAGGCGGTGGTGAGAACGGTGGTGGGACAGTAGTACAGTGGGGACAGTGGTGGGGACAGTGGGGACAGTGGGACAGTGGTGGGGACAGTGGGGACAGTGGGGACAGTGGGGACAGTGGGACAGCGTAGTGGGACAGCGGCGGGGACAGTTGGGACAGTGTGACAGTGGTGGGAACAGCGGGGACAGTGGGACAATGGTGGGGACCGTGGGGAAAGTGGGGAGAGTAGGACCGAGGTGGGACAATGGTGGGGAGAGTGGGGACAGTGAGACACTGGTTGGGACAGAGGTTGGGACAGCGGGAATAACGGTGGGAATAGTGGGGACAGTGGGACAGTGGTGAGGACTGTGGGACAGTGGTGGCGGTGGTGGGGACAGTGGTGTGGGGACAGTGGTGGTGTGGGGAGTGGTGGGAACAGTGGGACAGCTCAGTGGGACAGCGGCGGGGACAATGGGGACAGTGGGACAGTGGTGGGAACAGTGGGACAGTGGTGGGGACCGTGGGGTACGTGGGGAGAGTGGGACCGTGGTGAGAACAGTGGTGGGGACTTTGCGACAGTGGTGGGGGCACTGGTGGGGACAGTGGTGACGGTGGTGGGAACAGTGGGGACAGCTGGACAGTGCTGGGGACTGTGGGACAGTGGTGGGGACGGTGGTGGTGGGGACAGTGGTGTGGGGACAGTGGGAATGTGGTGGGGACAGTGGGACAGTGGGGGTGACAGTGGTGGTGGGGACACTGGTGAGGGCGGTGGTGAGGACGGTGGTGGGACAGTGGGACAGTGGGACAGAGGTACAGTGGGGACAGTGGTGGGGACAGTGGGGACAGTGGTGGGAACAGTGGGACAGCTCAATGGGACAGCGGCGGGGACAGTGGGACAGTGGGACAGTGGGGACAGTGGGAACAGTGGGACAGTGGTGGGGACTGTACGATGACGCGGAAAGAACGATTGCGATGTTTAGTTCGTTCAAGGCGTAGAGGTTGGCCAGCTTGTTTTCCCAGCTCGCCGCTTCCATTCATCCTCGCGGTTGCAAGCTAGATTCACGGATTTCGGTATGTTCAATTCCGCGGCTTTTCAGCCGCAGACTCCTTTGGTGGCACCAAAAACTAGGAAGAATGAGCCAATGCCTGCCCTGAGGGCGCTGCACCTGGCAAGACGATCGTCGCGAGACTGCGGTAATAGCAAACCAGGCAGCAATGCACGGGCTGCTAAACCGTTTCGCACACAAAAGGAAGCAACATGTTGGCTTTGCCGGTGTAGCAGCCCGTGCGGGAACCGATGAGATACGCGGCAAATTTGAGGCTGTGAGTATCCACTGCGCGATCACCGATCAGGCAATTGACAGACGCACGACTATGTCATTCTGGAGTTCCAGTGGGAAAGCGCACCATTGCTGCTGAAACCACCATGGGCGATGGGCAGCATTGTGAGCCCGTCGGAGCCGTTGCACCCCAGACGCAGCCCAGGGTAGACATGTAGTGATTGCTGTGGCCTCTGTACGCAGACCTCCTCGATTGAGTGGCGGGAGCAACACATCGACAGACATTGCCAACACCTGTTACAAAGCTCACAAGACCATCTGCTTGACTACACGAAGCACACCACGAAACGATCTCGGGCAGGCTCGATACTAATGGTTTACTCAAGACCAAGCTTATACGTTGAGGCTCGGGATGACGGAGAACAAATTGATGGGATGGTGGTTATCGGTCTGCACGAAAGCTGTCTCACGTAGTGTATGTACTTTGCCACGGTATTGAAAGACTGGGAGACTGAACTTCTCTACGGGCCGTTGCCGTAGCCGGGTCGCCGAGGAACTTGTGATGATTTTGGGTCGTTTTCTCCACTAAGCACCTTGTTCAATTTGCAGTGCTTGGCCTGGCTCACACGAGACCGAACCTTACGCGGTTGAGCGTTTGTGTCATCGCAGGTTCTTGAGCCCAAAGGAAACTACAGTTTAGATGCTGCGAGTTTTCCTTCGAGGCATACATCCCGTAATTTATCGTCAAAACTTATGAGAACATGATAATATGTGCGCTTTGTGTTTGGTATATACTTGGGAACTTCATTGCTCGTGGCAGCGCACAACATGATGATGCCGAAGCTGATGGTGATGATGATGATGCTGATGGTGTTGATGATGAGTATGAGGATGACGGTGGTGATGGTGTTGATGGTGATGGTGATGATGGTGATGGTGATGGTGATGGTGGTAGTGATGGTGATGAGTGAAGGAGGAGGGGGAGGAGGAGGAGGATGAGGAGGAGGAGGAGGAGGAGGAGGATGAGGAGGAGGAGGAGGAGGAGGAGGAGGAGGAGAGTTTTCGGGCCCTGCGCCAGGGTAGAGGCACTGTGGCTGGCGTGCATCGTGGCGAGCACAGGGTGCGTGGCGCTTGAGGAGCAGTACTACGGCGCCAGGCTGGCTTCCTCCTCCTCCTTCCTCTTCTTCTTCCTCCTCCTCGTCCTCCTCCTAGGCTCGTTCTCCTCTCCCCTGTTCTGTCTCCCCCCTTGAGCAGTTGGTGGATCAGGGATCCCGTTACTGGGACTCGGCACTGAAGAGTTCGTGATGTTTCTGGGAAGTTTTGGCAAGTGCTTTGCAGGACGAGGCGGCAGATGCGATGGCCATGGCGACGGGGGTCAGCCTGGCCGACATCAGCAGTTTCTACGATCCGCTGGGGAATGCAAGCAGTACTCTCCGCGTGCGAGCGCCCAGAGCTTGCGCGTGAAGAGCGGCTCACGGACTCCCCTGCTCGGCGGAGGTCTCGTTGTTGGCGGGTTCACAGCACGCCAACATCCTGGCGAGGACTGTGGTCTACAGGGTGTTGGAGAGGGTCACGAAGGAGGTGCCTCGGGCCAACCCCAGGGCCTGACTCCACTATGTCACCACCGTCTGTGGCAGCGCCATGGCGGTGGAGAACATTATCGTGCTGTCAACAGCCATCATGGATGAGGCCTAGCTGACCTAGCTGCGGCGCCGGCAGGCTTCCCGCGTTTCCTTGCGAGTGCCCACTCATCATCCACCGTTTATCCTCGAGGGTGTTGAAACGGCGCACGAAGCGGCAGCGAGGCCGCTTGAGGGTTGGGCCCTGGTGCCCGAGAGCCTGGCGGGGTCTCTCGGGAGTCTGGGGGTCGGCCAGGACGGCTTCAAGGAGCTGGCCCCTTAGGCCGACTTGGGCGCGGGCCCGCTTGGGGGTGGCGCCCTTTCTGCGTCGGGCCCTGGGGCGTTGGATGTGGGCTCTTTGCGGCGGCGCCCCGACTCCTGGGGCGTCTTCCACCGACTCGGCCATCAGATGGTTGAGGGCGGTGCCTTCGCCTCATGCGCGCGTTGTGCGCGTCGCGTTGGGGGGCCCAGTCGGGTCTTGGTGTTTGAGCAGCCTTGTCGAGGCCCCCAAGACCCTCGGCGCGCAGAAGACCCGCCTCAAATGGTTGTGGCGTGGGAAGCCGCCTCGGTGGCGGCTGAGGGCCCTGTGCCCTGATTGTTTTTAGTCGGGGGGCCCTGTAATACAGTCTGATGTGATGTGGGTTCAGGCGGCTTGGACTCATCTTCTATTGGCGTCTCTCCCTCCTCCTCCTGCTCTTCCTCCTCCTCCTCTTCCTCCTCCCGGACACCCCGCATCCCGTCCCCCAGGCAAAACCCGCTTCGCGGACATTGCAGTCCGCTGCAGGCCAGCCTCGTTGCAGCCAGCGTCGCGTCGTGAAACGCGTGGAATGTTTCGGAAATTCCAGGCGTTCTCTGGAGATTCTCTCGCCGCGGGATGCTTGCCAGCAGGTTCGCTCTGTCGCGGGCGTTCTGGGAGTGCCCGAGTTGTTCCAAGCTGCGTTTGCAGACCAGATTTACGGCCCGAAAACCGATTACGTCGCGTCGGAAACGCCGCGGGAAGTTTGGGCAATTTCCTGGCCTTAGGAGGCCTTCACCTGGGTCCCCAGGGCCGCCGACAAACTAGGTCGGGATGTTCGGGCGACGCTTATGTCCAGTTGGAGCATGTTCAGTTGAAGGCGAGGCGCTCGATCTGTTGGCACTCCGACCCGACTTCGCCTCTCCCGAGATGGAAAGGCGCGCCCCAGGACGGGGTTTGGGCCTCTGGGGGAGTTGCGCCGTGATAGGAGGTACGATGCCGGGATGCCCCCAGAGTGTTGGCGGTTTCCTGAGCTCAGGGCGTTGACGGGGCAGGCGGATTCATTACCGGGCGAGTGACGGCCTGCGGGCCCCAGGCGAGCGCGGCGCCACGGCGAGGTCGGCGCGGGCGAGGCGGTGCGTGGGTGCAGCGAATCTCGTTTTCGTTGTCCTCCTGAAGAGGGCGAAGGAAGGAGGAGTTCTGTTTCTTTCTCCTCTGTCCTCCTCGTCCTCCTCCTCGTCCTCCTTTTCCTCCTCTTCCTCCTCCACCATTCCTTTTCATCATTAATGAATTCTCCCTGTCGCACCCCGAGGCCAGTTTTACGGCGGGCCGCGCGTTTCGCTTGATGTTCCGTCATCATTTATGACTCTGAAGCTTGAAGGTTGGCAACAGCTTCACAGATGGAGGGCGGGTGGGTGGTTTTCAAAATGTGGCTCTCGCCTCAGCGCGGCGCACATTCGTTTGAAACATGTGCACGAGTTTCACAGATTGAGGGCGGGTGGTTTTCAAAATGTGGCTCTCGCCTCAGCGCGGCGCACACTCCTCTTAAATTACCCTGGCGACGTACCCAACCATTGCGCAATGCGGGGCAGGAGTAGGTTGGGAGATTTGACGAGAAGGCGGCGACGTGACATGGACGCATATACTTTTGCGAGCGGCCTTCGGAAGGTTCGCAGGTCCCCAATGAAGTGAAAATCGATGATTAACTATGTGAACCCCTGAGTCACTAAGGAAGACGCAAGGTCCAAAAGGACACTGTGGGCAAGGGGCTTGAAACGTCGGCGGGGCAGCAACAACATGACATGGCCGCCCAGGGACGGCGAGGTCCCGCTCAGGTCCACGCAGTGCCTCACTCCGCTGGACCCACCAGCAACCATCGAAAGTGGCGAGCCAACCAGCAGCCTTCGAAAGTGGCGACTGTTTCGCAGATCGCAGACCCAGGTACGGCGAGGTTTCGCTAAGGTCTGCGCGGTGCCTCGCTCCACGGGACCCACCAGCAGCCATCGAAAGTGGCAACCGTTTCGCAGATCGCAGCCCCCCAGGGAGGCCAAGGTCTCGCTCAGGTCTGCGCGGTGCCTCACTCCGCTGGACCCACCAGCAGCCCTCGAAATTGGCGACAGTTTCGCGGATCGCAGCCCCCCAGCGACGGCGAAGAGAGGGCAGGAGGAGGGAGGAGGCGGGAGGATGGACGCGCGAGCGGTGCTCCATTCAAAACGAATACCCGGCCAAGGAGGGTTGGGAACAAAATGCAAGAGTTTCACGGATTGAGGGCGGGTGGTTTTCAACATGTGGTTCTCGCCTTAGCGCCGCGCACATTCGTTTACAAAATTCGCAAGAGTTTCACGTATTCCCATCTCAGCGTGCCAGAAGTGGTGTTTTGAAAAGATTCAGCATTATGCAGGTGCAATTGATACGTTGTTTCGCTGTGTTGAAGTCGCAGGAAAGGCGTTCTGGCACGATTCAGGATCGTCAAGACGCAACAGTCAGGTTGATCCGTGGCGTTGGAATCCCGAGGAGAATATGCTGGCATGCTTCAGGGTCTTCAAACGATTGTCTTCAACGAGGCAGTTCCCTCAATGGAAATGAACCGTTGTAAGGGCCTATGAAGAGGGAGCTTGGGGGGAAGGTTTATTCCAACATCGTTGATTCCTCTGGGGTTTACACTGGTCCTCCTCCTCCTCCTTCTCCTCCTCCTCCTCCCCCTCCTCCCCCTCATTCTCTTCCTCCTCTTCCTCCTCCTCCCCCCTCCTCCATCCTCCTCCTCTCTTCAGTCTTCTTCTCCTCGTCATCTTCATTATTCCTTATCAGTTACCTTACTCTTCTCTCTTGCTCTTGTTATTCTGCCTCCTGGTCATATGATTGTCTTCTCTTTCAGTTCTAGTATGTTTTGTCTCCTCTGTCCTCGGGGACGCATTGCGGGAACAAACACCAAATATCCCAGCTACACCAAACCTGCCTGGCTAGGCCCAGCCATCCCTGGCCAAGGATTGGTGGATGTGCCAACCTGGCCTGGCTGGGGCGGGATGTACGTTCGAAGCCAAGGCCCAAAATTGACAAGAATCCGGTACCTCACCAATGGTGCTCCCTGTATCCTTGCCTCTTCGGCCCATCTTTGGCCGTAGACCCCAGAGCTGTTGGACTGATGCCGCTGTTGCTACGTGGATGTTTCCACTACTTTTCTTCCTCGTTCCTCCTCCTTCCGCCCCCCTCCTGACTCCTCGCTCTTCCTCCCTCTTCGCTCCTCGTTCCTCTTCCCACTTCTCTCCTCCCTCTTCCCCATTCCCTCTGTCTCCCCTTCCTCCTCACACTCCTCTTTCCTCCTCCCTATTTGTCCCGATCTTCCCCTTCCTCGTCCCGTCCTCCCTTATGCCAGGCTCGCCTACCACCTCGGTATTTACGCCGAGATGGGCGCGACAAGACTTCAACTCTT